TGGTCAAAAAAATAACAAGCCGCAACTTAAATTTTGAATTTTTGAAATAAAAAACCCCACAAAATCATTTTTTCTTTACTTTTTTTTAAAGCAAAGTTTTTGTTATCTTAGAGTAGATGGGATGAAATTTGCGGGCAAATGCTGAACAGCGGATACTATCAACTGATTGAGAAGTGAGTTTGAAGTAATTTGAAGTAGTCTCGTGTTGGTAGACTCGATAAAATGAATGTCTCGAATCGATTGGTCGACCCTGAGAGCCTAGGTTCCAATTCACAGCTGAATCTCTTCATTTGAGGCCTTTGAGTTAAAGCAAAAGAGAAATCCATTTGTAATATTAAATTCCGATCATCGATAAACTAAATTTGAATGGCGGCGTGTTATTTTTTTGACCAGCCACTTTTGAGTGTTCATAAAAAATGATTTATCGATTTTATGGTCATGAAATCTTGAACATATACAGAAAACCATATGAATTTTCATTTAAAAAAAAGAAATGAATCGTTTTTCTCTACAAATAACAGAAATATGAGAAAACAAGGACGCTGGGGGGAATGCCACTGCTCTGCAGTTAGTCAAAATTCAATACAATTCAAAGTTGATGGATAAACTACCGTGATCAGCGACTAGACGATATTCAGTTGTCCGTTTGTCGTAGCTTGTTTACTTAAAAACCCATTATTTAAGCTTTGTTTTGAGTCAAGTCGTGGGCTCCCTTTTTCACACGCAAGTGTTGAAGTAATTGTGATAGTGCCAGGCTTGCTCCAGTTTGAGCGAAGTTTGCCCTAATAAGGGAAAGTTTTGATAAATTGTGCGCTTTCAAGACATCTACCATTAAACCACACCGAGACACGGTCTCACAAGAAATTATAAAGATCAAAGTATAAATATGTTTCTTACAGATTTCTTATTTCTGGTCGCCCTGTAAGAGTCAAAGTCATAGGAGTCTTGTAATAACTTTTTTTTGCAAATTCGTAAAGTTAATTAGTTGGGTTGACATGAAAAATCAAACAAAAATGGTTAAATTAAATCACCAAAGCCTCCAATTCAAATAAACTCAACCCATTTTTTCGATATCGATTTCGCTGGCCAGTTCTACCTCCAGATTCAAACTCAAGCCCCACCCAAAAACTCAAGCTCTACAACTTTCACGAAAGGGTGTTCTGTGAAAGTTTTCGCTCAATCGCACCTTCAAGTTTGCGAGTAAAGTCTTCGAAAAATGACTTTTATATCACAGGTTTATGGTGGTTTCTCCAATGATATTCACAGCGATTACCCCGACAAGGAGCCAACCACAAACTCGAGTAAGGAATTAAATAGAAGCAAAGATAGAAAAGTAAAAACAGAAATTTTCCACTCTAAATCACAAAGCAAGCACTCTATTGACAGAGTCCGCTATTAACACAGCTTTAAGAATCTTTGAATTTATTTGATTGACTAATGGGTTGGTGAATTGAAAACTGCGGGACTTTGAACTAAAATTTATTCAACATAAAACCATGAATTCATTCCAAATAATTTCCATTATTATTGACGACTTCTGCCCATTTTACAGGCAATTTGCGGATTCCTCTTTTGTAGTAGGATTTTGGCTTGTGTGTGAGACAAGTATGAGACTCAAAAATGGAGGACTGGAGATGTCCCAGTTTGAGCACTTTCTTCAAAAGAAACCCATTTTGGTGTCAATGGAAAAGTTGTAGAGAATCAAAAATCAGGCTTATAGCCAAATTTCCAAAAAGCTACACTTAGTAGTTTCGCTTAAAATGCAAGTTTTGTGAAAATTCGTAAATTTGGCATTTCTTGAAAACCAGTTTTTGAATCGTTCTGAAAATTTGGATATAAGCTTGATTTTTGATTCTCTACAACTTTTCCATTGACACCAAAATGGGTTTCTTTTGAAGAAAGTGCTCAAACTGGGGCATCTCTAGTCCTCCATTTTTGAGTCTCACACTTGTCTCACACACAAACCAAAATCCTACCACGAAAGAGGAATCCGCAAATTGCCTGTAAAATGGGCAGAAGTCGTCAATAATATTGGAAATTATTTGGAATCAATTTATGGTTTTATGTTGAATAAATTTTATTTCAAAGTCCGGCAGTTTTCAATTCACCAACCCAATAATTGAAATTGATAATGCAAATGGTACAATAAGAAATAAGAATTTGATTTAAACCGTTGATTACAGCTTTAGCTTATCCCGTCCCTACGATTACGTTGTTTTTCAAATATTTTTCTCCAATCTTAAGAGAATTTGAAAATTTCTATCGCTCCCCAAAAAAAACAAATTAACAGCTCAAAATCGTTTGATTGGTTTTGTTGATGCAAGCAATAAAACTGTTGTGAGAAGTCCGGTGCTGACACACGGCAAAATTTACGGAATCGACGGCCAATACCTTTGGGATGCAACAACTTATCAGGTAAGTAAATACTTGACTCTAGCTTTTAAAAAATACTGGGTGCAGCGGGATTATTAATCGCCTCAGGGCATCAATGTTAGTTCCTACAACTATCTCGAAAGATAAGAAAGATAAGATACGCAAGAAAGATCGATTCCTGTTCGGTTTCCAGTCGGTTCCCATTTTCTTCCGTGAGCCAAAAATCACTTTGGCAACAAAATTTGGTGTTTTATGCAGAATGATGCTTCTGCTCACAAGGCTCGAGTAGTTCAGGACTGGCTGACAGGAGCATTTTCTTGATTTGGCCACTTTTAGTGGTCACTCTGAAGTCCCGACGAGGATTTCAGTGTTTTGGATGTTCTTAAAGCAAAAACGTGCTTAAAGCCTCATTCCAGCGATTCGCTTAAGAAAACTCTTCAAAAAGCATGTGATAAACTCGATCCGGCTTACCATTTTGCCTATGGATACTCCCAAATATCACCAGCCCTGCATTTCTGCCCATAGAGATCCTTTTCTTTTGAAAAGAAATCGTTTTTCTTGTTTAATATATCTTCAAAAATCAATTGTTAAAGTTTTTGAATTAATTTCTCTTATTGGTTTCTATCTCTTATTGGTTTCGATCTTTATTGGTTTCTATCTTTTAAAAATATTGGTTGTAATAATCCTGCCGTATCCTGTATTTTACTTTACCAAAAGAGAATTACCAAAAATGGTTTTTAACAGAATAACTACGATGAGTACGGGTCTATAGGTTCTCTATTATAAATCAATTTTCAGTCTCGAGACTCGTGTTCTTTTAACTGGATCTCTCAACCGTTTACCTGTCCAGCCAATGGGAATGACGACAATCGTTTTGCAGTTTTTGTAAGAAAATTTTCATTTTAGATAGAAAAGTCTTCTTTTAGGGTTTAACTTAAAGCTTTTCAGAATCTTGGTGAAGACGAATACGGTTTTCCATTTCAACGAATCGTCAACGCTCATTGCCAATGAAAAAAGAAACTCTGCTTAACAGTACTTTTGCTAAAATCAATAAAACTTTAACACAAAAGATAAACATAATAAAAAATGTTAAAATTTTGACACTAAACTATCGGGCATACGAAACGTTGTTTTTTATTTTTGCTTAACTTAATAAACGATGGATATAATGGAGCCTTATAAATTACGAGAGCCTTATAAATTATATATCGACACATTTTATGAATCATATTCTAATGCAGAAACCAAAATTTTACTTTTGCGAAGATCGAAAACTGGAAAACTAGATATTTGACAGATTTGCAACCTAGTTAAACAAAAATCATTGAACTATTCAGCTTTTTTGCCATTTTCATTTTAATTACCAAGAAAGTTGCGAGTTCTAGAGCAATCTCTCCCAAAAGTCAGCAAGTAGAGAAGTCAAAAAAGTTGATAATCATCCCAAACAAGTAAACAAGTATTTGTTTCTTCTTCTTTCTTTCTTTCTTTCTTTCTTGTTTTTCCTTTCTTCTTCCTTCTGCTCTTTCTAAATTCTTTTTTATCTAAGAATAATGTATAATAAAATAAATAACGTATTGATTTTTAGGGCTGATGGCTGAGCGACTACCAATTCACACGAAGTATCGAGTATCGAGCTATTCGAGAAGCTGAGGGAGACGACGTTGAATTCTTCATTGGATGAGAAAAGGAGAATGGAAACGAAATGAATTCGGAGAATGATTTGGATACTCTCGACACGAAACTACTCAAACAGGAAGAAAACGGAAGGCCTATTCGATCAATTTCAAGCTGAAACCAATCGAATTTGCAAAGAAGATCTCGAAGAATACTGCAAGAATGACGTTTAAAGTCGGCAGAAAAATGATTCACGAATGGATTTCATAAAAAACGATTGCGGAGAATGGGAAAGTTGTGCAAGAGGTTGAAAGGAAGTAGTCGAATCCTCACAAACAAGCAACCCAACAGGAGACTTGCCGAATGGGTCCGAAGTGAAAGAAAAGAAAAACAAGGTCTCGAGGCGGTTGATCCAAGAAAAAGTGAAGCGCTTTTGAGATCAATTGTCGGAGAAAACGAGATCAATTGTTGTTGGATCAATTGTTGGATGAAATTGATCTGGGCGAGACGAGGTAAACAAAGATTGCGAAAATGATCCCTCGATTGAAATCAGTGACGTTAATGAAAATGAGATCGAGGATGATTTAACGGATATGCTCGTTTGAAATTGTTTATTGTTGTTGTTTGTCAATCGTTGCTTTAGATAACTCAATAAATTAATCATGAAAATTTGGCTGATTTTTGAAAATCATTGATTCCTAAAAGCTGTTTGATCATTCTCTGAAGCTTTGAAAAATAGAAAACCATGGTCTTCTATTAGAATTTTTACGGTACTTTACGTTTTGATAAGTAGAAAACATTCAATACAAACGTAGAATGATAGCCTTTGATTTTGTGTCACATTCTTTAATCATATCATCATATTCCAATCATATTCCACAATTTTGAGAGTTTTCACTGATTGTCGTCTGTTCAAATGGAAATTGAAAGGTGTTATTTACCAAGGAACATGCACAACAACAAGCTTTTTATTATGAGAACATATTTTTCGTCATAAAAAAAGCGTTTCTCTAATTCCGTGGTCGCTGCTTGCAGATGAAACGTCCGAATTTGTGATTGACCCATGTACTGTACCAATCGTAGATTTTACTTGAACAAGCATCACCCGAATAGGTTGAAACTTTTGGTATCTAGAATTAGTTTACCAATAGCTCAAAATAGTTTCCGTAAACGATACTGGCCATCATCAGTATCGTCAGTAACCCAGTCAAGTCTAACAAGCTATGTAGCTAAAAATGTCTAGGCTTAGAATCGAACTTTTAACAGAATACTAAAAAAGAATTTATTTAAAGTTCAATATGTAAATCTTGAACGTGCAAGCATAAAGTAGCCACTCTCAACTAACAAAAAAAAAGATTTTTGTTTGATTTCATCACTTTACTTCATCACACTCACCCCCAAATATCCAGTGCCACCCAAATATCCGAACGAGTAATCGACGGGTGTTCCATCAGTCCATCTTCCACTTCCGACATTTCCGTCTCCATTGTCCAATCCAAGCCACACATAGTGATTCTCCGCGCACTTAGATGTTTCGTCCCTCGGGGTCATATCTAAACTTTTGTCTCATCAGCATCAGCATTTAAATCGACTTCACTGAGTCAACTAAAGAATAAATTTAAGTTGGAATCTGACTTGCAAATTGCAAATGCAAACGCAAATGCAAATTTGAAATTGCAAAACAAATTTACTTAAAAGATATCTATTATTTGAGCTAATAGAAAACGAGAAAAAGGACTTAACTTTTTGTTCTTAAAAAATGAAAAGTCTTTAGAAAAATGGTCCTTTTGGTTCTTGAAATGATAACTCTGTAAAAAAGGACAAAAACAAAAAAAGAGAACAACTCTTTAAGTTGAAAGCAACATTAAAAAGAGAACAATTCAAATCTTTAATTCAATACCAAAAGTGCACTTCTATTCAATAGATAAGTGAACTTATTGTTGAAGAATGCATACTACTGATCAAAAGTGGTCAGCGGATGTATTATTTGACGTGCCAAATGCAGAGATTCTTCTGCTGTTAGGCAACAAACATATCATGATTATAGAGATTTGTTTTTACAACCAACTGTAAACAAAGTCATCTTCATGAGCTGAGTGCACTGATGCCAAATGGCCTCCATCCTCTCGACACCATGATTCGGCTTCGGAAAAACTGTACAGCGTTCCCATTATGGCGTCGTATGGCTAAATTCTATGCTTTCTTTTTGTTCGTTATTATTATCATACGCGTATGTAATAACAATAGCCGGTCTCATCGAAATATATGTATCCAGTAGTAGGACAAGAGGGAAGAGGTGTAGTTTTGAGGGACGGCAGAGTTGCTTAATTAAGTGTGTATGTTAATGATTGGCAAAACAAGCTTTTCGTCTTTTCGCACAATTATAAGCCTACCGTGAATACTGTAGTAGTACCCCACCCCATAATGACGGTGCGGAGTGTTGCGTAGTCTAACTTTGAACGAGTTTTTCTCGACACTGGTTTATGCTACAATGTGTGCTTAGGTATCAAAAAATAGCTGAAATTCAGGGCTATTTTTTGATACCAAAGACGCATTTTTTGAAAGTACGCGCTTTGAAAATGAAATACTAAAAAACTTTTGCGACTACGCGACTGTACGAGGGGGGTGGGGTACTATTACAGCAGTTACGGTACCTATTCAGTTTACAGAGACTACAGAGATTTCGTTCTTACCCTTATCATCTAGATTTTAATGTCAAAATAACTTTTTGAGCAAAAATAGAGCTATTACAGTACTATTACAGTATTTACGGTAGGTGTTTATGTAATAAGATGGGATGAAAAGTATTATATTTCTTTGAAAAAAATCAAACTTTGAATTGTGGTAGGTAGAGGCGGAAGTACACAAAAACACGGTCGTGGTTGCGAGCAATCGGCGGCCGACCAACGAAGATTTTCCGTCGTCATTAGGGCACAATTGTAGCCAGATGCGTTTCTTGGCTCATCTGTAGCTAGTTAAAAACACAATCAAATTGTCATCTTGTCATAAATAACTTTGTTTTCCCTACCAGGTGCCCAATTTCGATAGGTTAACGCCGAGTGATCTTGGTAACTCCATGAACCGTTTGCCAGCTTCTGCACACCGATCCATTGCTGAGTTGCCGTGAAATCTGAATTTTTTTTTAAGGTTTATTCATTTCAAAATCTTTTTTAGTACATAATTTACACTATTTACGTATTTCACAATTGTTGGCCACATGTTTCAGGCGTTGTTTCAGGTGTGTTCAGTGAACTTATGAACAAGAAACACTCAGAAAACCGTTGTTGACTTGACAAAATTTGTAAATATTTAAGTTTTGTATTTGAAAATAATGAACTTTTTTGATTTCTATAAGGTATCAATTCACTCACATATGCTAGCCATCGAAAAAATGTAGCTATTCTCAAAAGCGTTCGTCACTTTCGACACCACTCCGCCCAAAGTCCCGCATTGCCAAACGGCATCTTGATAGAACTGGGCTGAAAAGAGCACAACGATTTCATGACTTTTACAGAAATAAAGTTTAATTACTAAACTAAACACTAGTCGCTTGTTCAACTCTGGTTGATTGGTACAGAACAATCAGTTTTTGCAGACTAAAATCGACTAAACAGTGGATATCCAGTCGAACTTTGATATAAAGAACCCTTAAAAGTTTAGAACATTCAGTTCCAAACTTTTAATAAGTCTACTTTGAAAAAGAAAGAAGTTAAGAAACAACCTTCGATATAACGAAAACTTTTTGGGGATGAAATATAGTATTTCATTTCCATATAACAAATTATTTGCTAAAATGTGGGCAAAATCAAAATCGATTCCGGCTTTTTGACTGAATATCTAATTTTTTTTACTCAATTTGAAATACTTTACAATTTAGCTTGTTTACTGCTTGTAACGTTTTTATCTTAAGTGTGCTTAATGTAAAGTTTTCTTTCTTATTTCTTTAATTTTTGAGTACATTCTTAGATTTTAGGTGAGGGAAGTCGACGCGTCGATCAACGATTTCGCTTTGAAGAAGCGAATACTCGAATACAATAAACTTCGAAAGGAACGGCTGAGTTGGCGAAGGACTTCAAGTTGCACATCAACAATTTAATCAATTCTTAGGAAGATGTCATTATGGAAGCGTGAAAGAGTAGCTGCAAAAAGAGCACGATTGAAGACGAGCAAATACGAATCAATCGAAGAGTCTGTGCTTCTTTGGCTCAAGCAAATGTCAAGCCAAGCTTCGAAATCTGCTTCGAAAGCGATAGAGTTGGCAAGCTTGAAAAGAATTAACGATTTTCAAGCGAGTAGCGGTTGGCTGGATAAATTCAAGAAGCGTTATGGAGTTGTTTTTGCAACGTTTCCTTGCTAACTTGTTTTCAAAATAAACTTGTGATAGAAACTTCTATATAGAGAATTAGTCAAAAAAAACAATGCTGATTTGTTTCTATACAACAAATTTCGATATAACGTACACTTTTATATAACGAATTTTTCGACCGGTTCCTTGCAGTTAATTGTATCGAAGTTCGACTGTACAGAGTGACCAAGAATTACCGCAACAACGTCGTATTATGTTATGAGTCCCATTTCACTTTTTGCTTACCTGTTTTTATGGTTACCACTTCAAAAATCGAATTTGGACTTATGAACAAGACGGTGCACCGGCTCACAAGGCAAAGAAAGTGCAAGAGTTTTGTTCAAAGACCTTCCCGGACTTCCTCTCGTTTTCTGAGTGGCCACCCAGCTCACCCGATCTTAACTCATTGGATTAATCAGTCTGGAGTGTTCTTGAAGTCAGGGCATGTGCAAAACCACATAAAAGTATCGAAAGTTTAAAGAAGGCGCTCATCAAAGCATGGGATAACCTCGATGATGCCTATTTGCTCGCCACGGTCAACGCGTTTTCCAAACGCGTTTCCCAGGCCTGTCTGAATGCCGGTGGAGGCAAATTTGAATTAATTGTTAATTTGTTACTGTTATATGTTGAATAAAAATATTTAAGTGAACTTTTCGAGATGGGTTGCACATTTGGTTAAAAGCCAGCCCTTTTGTGTGTTGCGGTAATTCTTGGTCACCCTGTATATGTTACGTTCGATTACGACCACATGTCCAGATCGGATCCAGACGCGTGGTTTTGTAATCGGACGTAACATAAATACAGTATACATCATTAAGTCTCCAAAAATGAAGATTGATTTCGGGTTATTAGTTATCAAAAGCTTGTGATAAATATAACGAAAACTGCTACGCGAAAACTTCACATACGATCAGCGATCGGATACAGACAAAGTTGCTCATTTGGGATTGGCGATGAGCCTGGAGGGCAGTCAAATCCGTCCACCACAACAAACAGGAAAAAGAGACCGAATGAAGAGCTTTTCATTGAAAATCCCTGATTAGTAAATAACTGGGCACAATGGGGAAAATCTCAAAAATGAACTAGCCACTTATTGCCTTATCAGCTTAGAATAGAAATAAATGAGAGGCTCTATCAGAAAATTCAATTTCCGGTTCAATCTTTTCTTTCGTAATTCTATGCTCTTATCCAATGAAGCAATAAAATTTTATTACAAACAATTTTACGTTCAAAAATGAACTTTGAAACTATAATGGTAGGCAAACTTTTGAAAGACTCAATAAAAAAACGTTGACAAAGGATCAGCTATGCAAATAGTCTGTTCAGTCTCATCTGGTAATTAGTCAATTAGCAGTCAATATTCCCAAGTAAAACACTGCTTTTTTTTTCTTGGGAACGTTATTTCTCGACGCAGAGGAGGTCTTTCAAAAAACTGAAATATTCAGAAGAAAGCCCTAAGTCTAAGGAAGATTTCATACGCTGAGTTATAGGTAGAAAAAACTTTTTACTTGCAAAGAATCAAAAAACCGAGCGGCGCCGGGGGAAAAATAGGAGCACCGGAAAAATTCGAGTTCTTTTCATCAAAATATTCCATAAAAAGTTGTGTCCCTAATCATCGAATGGTTTTTGCTGCAGCAATTCCAAAAATACGATGGCATTCAAGAACATTTGCCTCCAAAATGCATTTCAAACAGCTTGCTATCGAACTTGACAACCGGATATGGACACTTCTTCGAGTACATGAACACTTCTTCGAGTTTGCTTACACGCAAAAAAAGAGTTCAATAAAAGTATCAATAAAATCAGTATACAATTTGTGACTTTACTGAGCAATGTTTAAACCAAAACTTTCTTCAAGGAATGGGCCCACTCAGTGTTTGCATTCAGACAAAACAATCTCCATCAGCTTGTTGTCAATTTGCTCAACATTACTAATAAAAACAAAATTTTGATTATTTTCCTTTATAATTCCAATGTAATTTCTTGATTTTATAAATTTTTTTATTATTCAATGGCAAGGCAGATTTTACGAGCGAATGATTCGTTTGTTGAAAGACTCGTTGAGACGAGCAATCGGGACCGCGTTGCTGTCGAGTGAAGACTTTCGTACCTTGGTGGTTGAAGCTGAAGCGGTGGTGAACAGCAGACCGATCACGTACTTGACTGAAGAAGATCGCGTGCTACGCCCAATTGATTTCTTGATGCC